TAACTGCTTCATTCCATCATAAGTGCTGTATAACTCAGTGGCTTCAACAGAGGTTGGCAGTTCAATTCCCCAGTGTACCTCCTTGAGACGAGCTGGACTTGATGATCCAGAGGATCCCATCCAGCTCTGCAGTTCAAAGGCTATTATTATTATATGTAGCTCAGGGATAATAGCAGAGTTTAAGCATCACTTAGCATTTTACAGGCAATGTTTACACACTGCCTTGGAGTTGTAATCTCTTGAAATAACAAAAGTTTGCTTCAGGCAATGGTTCTCTTGAAAATATGCTCCAAGTAAGAGAAACAGCCTGCAAATATAATGTAATGTGAAGTTTTGCACTGAAAAACATGCACAGGCCTTCACATCCATGTAATGGTGCTAAAAAGACTAATGAGTGCTCCTTATTGTGATGTCTCTGGCCAAGGTGACATTTAATATTTTGTAGAATCTGCATATTTTGGAAGAACATGTTAATTGTATTTTATCATCCCGAACAATATTCAGAGAGTACGAGTAGCACAAATCCTTGTGAAATGTCTGCAGAGAAGCCAGTGGTGCACAAGTCCAGATACAAAAGCTATCTCAAGGCAGAGAAATGTATAAAGTGAGATTTAAAACTGGCTACATGTTAACATCCAACGAGCTGGGTAAAAACCAGACAGCACATATTACACAGATCTCACAGTTATTTGACAGGAGGGGAAGACATGAATGGGCATGTAAATAGAATTCCTGAAAGTGGCATAAACATCTATAGCAGTGTATATATGTGAAAATGGTATATGAGAAATATTCTCCTTGATCTCTCAAGGCTTTGAAGATAACAATCAGCTCTTCAAAGCAACCCAAAGCAACCATTAATACAATGGTGCCTTGACTTACGAACGTCCCTACTTGCAACCATTTTGAGTTATGACCAGCTCCGGCTGCAAAATTTTGCTTCTGCTTGAGACTGGAGCTTCCACTTATGAACAGAAAAAGGCAGGGAAAAAAGGTGGGAAATTCAAATTTCTTAGGTGGCGACGAGGCTGTTTCTTTGTAGCTCTTTCACCCCAGCAGTTAAAGTGTGTGTGTCAGAGGAGGCTTGGGACTGCTTCGCTTCTGCTTCTGAGGGAGCATGTGTGTTTGCAGGGGGGCTTTGGGCTGCCTGGTAAGGTAAGGTGCTGTTTTCTGCTTTTTAAAAACTGTTCTGGGTGTTTTTGCAGCATGGTTTTCGGCTGGGGGGGGTTATGTTTCTGTGCTGTGATGGGTCTTGGAGGGTTTGTTGGTTGGTTGGTTTATTCCCCCCCATTTCCAATGGGTCTTGGGGGGTTTTGTTGCTTTTTGGAGTGTTTTTTCCCATTTCCAATGGGTCTTGAGGGATTGGTTTGTTTTTTGGCTTCCCCCCATTTCTGATGGGTCTTGGGGGTTTGGTTGCTTTTTGGGATATTTCCCCCCATTTCCAATGGGTCCTGCATGCTTCCCTTGCTTTTTCCTTTGTTTTCTTTGCATTTCCAACCTTCCCCCTTTGTTCTCTGTGCATTTATGATCTGCTCCGTTTGTTTTCTGTGCATTTCCAAAGGGTCTTGCACGCTTGATTGCTTTTCTTCCCCCCCCCCCACCTTCGGCTGGA